TAAAGGGAGTAAATATAATTATGTGCATAAGACATATAAATATACAATACTCATGAGCTCTAAGAAAATAATATTGGCCATTGTGAGGAACACTAGGTCCTCCTGAAAACGCAGGACTTTTCACTGAGAGACAAACTTTAGTGATGACATGAGGCATTTCTTAAGTAGGAACCACTATACTGTTGATCTGCTGAGTTGGCAAGATTTTTTAATTCAGGCATCTCGTCCCATTCTATCAACACTTCCATGCTGGATTCAGCAAATGGATACTCTAAGTCATTTACTTCCTCTTTATAGCGATCAGGTTTTTGACAAATTTTCAACTGTTTCCTTGGAGGGCTCAGAGTACAGTATTCATAGCTCTGTGCCTTAATTATTGATCCCGGATTTTATGTTATGTACTTTGGGATTTCAGAGCAGTGTACGTAAGGAGACCCTTGCACACAAGGGGCTCAGATTGCCTTCGCTAGAATCCTGGCTCAGTCTCTTCGTGTTTGGCTCTCCAGTCTTCCACCAGTGAAGCAGAGATGATTCTGTTATGTAGCATCACACTCAGGCCTGTTTTGAGACTTCAAAAAATTAATATAGAGAGAGTAGTTAGCATACATTTTCAATAAATGCTGCCATTGGTGAAATAATTCAGTAATAATCATGTCAGTATAGCCAGGCATTTAATTTATCTCTCTCTCTCTATATATAAATTCATCTTCATTTAGTCTTTCTCCATTTTTATGAACAATATATGTTTTTAATTAAGCAGTTTCTTGATTGATTATAAACTTTTAGTTTGACTATATCAACTTTGAATCTGATTCCAGAGCCTTAGTACATGGAATCACTACAACTTTCTCAAATATGTCTAAGAATTCATCTGACCCTGCTTTCTGATTCATCATGTGCAACTTACACATGATTTTAAAAGTCTGCTGCTTTCCATAGGCTTCTCTGAGTATTAAAAACAAACATACAAAGAACTGTTGGTGAACAGAAAAGTAATGAGATAGTCTTTTACTCCACTAGGAGTAAAAGGAACTGTTTCTGTAGGAAGTCAGATCAGTGCTGTGAAAAAGTTGTAAGGCTAAGTGGAAAATACTGTAAATAAGGATTAAAACTCAGGGTTTGGTAGGCAAGAGTGTGAGAAATAATTATTAGAGAATAAAAAAAAATGTGATGATCTTGAACTCTGCATCAGGCACTCTGCACAGGTTTATGTTATTTTCATGTCTGTCATCTTCTAGATCTTCTAGCTCCAAGTGGCCTAATTGCACCCATTATACAACTTGGAGAGTGAGCAATGGGCATGTCAGGTGACTTACAGCAGTACCAGAGCAAAACTGAAGTTAAAGCTGGTAGAAACAGCCAGTGGCAACAAAATGTGATGTTAGTGGAAATGAGGCCCATCAGAGGGAAGAGTGAAATCAGGTGACAAAGCTGTCAGGGCTAAGAGTGACCAGCCTACAGGTTAAGAATTTGCCTGCACTGAACGGAGGGCACAGACCTGTTGGTCTGAAAGGTGGAGGGGAGGGTAAATAGGCCTAGTAATTGGAAATAGATTTGGAAAATAATTCCTATCCAGTTGTATGTGGGGACAAAATGGAGGTTCCCCCCTTTCCAGGTTTCTTGAATTCACAGAAAGAAGACGGCTCAGATTCCAGGTGTTCCTCTGCCATAATGAGACTTTCTCAGTACAAGTTGTCTTCAGGAACAGTCTTTTGTGACATGAAGAAAGGGAAAATGAAGTGTGTACTGAAAGTGAGCTGCATCTCAGAACAAAAACGCCAGGTTTACTCACCTGAAAAGATGCCCCATTTCCTGACCCCACAGTCAGAGGACACTCTGGTTCTCCTCTGTGAAGGCCCGCAGTGTCAGTGGCATCAGGCCTGGGCTCCAGCTTGGTACCTGGAGGCAGGGCTGACTGGCCTTCTCAATCATCACCAGCATCCACCCACTCCTTCCCCCTGCTTTACCAGTCACCTGGGAGATACAGGCCAATGAGCCTCAGAAGAATGTGCTTCGTCTGGGTCTGCAGGAATAATTGGGCCAAGAGAAGAGGCTCCTAGGAGGTGATTTATGTGAAACCATAAGTCAAATTGCAAGAAATATAGAACAAGATGAAGAATGTGTCTGTGTGTCCACGTATGTATTTGTGTGGACATGCTTTGATGTACACGTGAAACTGTAAGCTGATGCAATGGCACACCTGAACCTATGTCTAGTATGCAGATGCATGCAGGTATATGCTTAACCATGCTCCTTTGTACAGAATTTAATTGCAAGTTTTTGTGAATCTATGTGTTTTCATAGCTTCCCATATACATGTCAATCACAAGTGGGTGTACACGTGTTTATGTGTGCATATATAGGACTTCTTTCTATACCCATGCACTGGTCTAATAGCAAATGTTTTTTTGAAAACCTATGTAAACTAATCTGGTTATTACTATATATACTAAACTTTATTAGCCAAGAACACTCGGGTGTCCAATGGGCACAGAAGAAATAGCCTTGTGCTGAAATTGGTGAAATTTGATCTCAGGACCCTTTGGGTTTGTATCTCTGATTCTCCTGGAGGTTCTTTCCTTACATTAGTGACTCAAGGACATACATGATGTAGTACCATCTGCAGACTTGACACATTTTGATGCTCAATTTTTCTCACTCTATAGTTTATAAACTCTGGTTTATGTTTCATTGTTAACCTATAGGTGACCTTAGATTTATCTCTTTAAAATTCCATGACCGGAAAAATGGATTTCCTAAACAGTGTCAGTTTCAAATGCTTAAAGGGGCATAAGACTATAAAGTAACATAACATTATAGTAAGGAGTTCTGTGTGGGGGAGGATAGAGATGGTGCTAGTGACCAGGCCAGACAATTCTCGCCAAATATTGTCAATAGCATGATAAATGTAGTATTGATAAGTTTCATTTGATTTTTTAAATTAAAACTGTATAGCATAACATAGATACTAAGAAGCATGGAAGTTCAAGAAAGTTACAACTGTAGAAGTTCCCTTCTATAGCTTAAAAGTTAAGGAGAAGCTGGGCCCTCCCTGGTGGTGCAACAGGTTAAAGTGTAACACTGTTAAACTACCTACAACCACTTTGGAATGAATTTAATTCCTGGCCAGGCAGCTGACCCACATGGCATGGCAGACCTCTCGTGACCGCCCACTGCTCCCCTCAGCAGTGTGTTTCAGTCATTCTGCCTGTTCTGCTCCCCACTCTGTCTCTGTTGAATCCTCTCACCCCTTTCACTTCTGATCTGTCCCTCATTTCTTGTATGTATAAATAAATACATCTTTAAAAAAAAGTTAAGGAGAAGCTAAATGATTATTGTTTTTTACTTAAGCTTCCTCTAGCAAAGCAGGTCCTCGTCCTGAATAGACTGAACCTGTCTGAAGAGGAGGTCCAGCAAAATAGTCTAAGGAAATCAGATCTGTGCTTGGGTCTTGATGCCAGCATACACTGGAAATGTAACTCAGGAAATGGACCTCAATTTCCTCATGTAAAAAGTTCAAAAAGTTTAAGAAAACATTAATCCAAAATGATATAGGCACTCCAGGGTCCACAGAGGCATCATTTACAATTGCTGAAACAAAGCAGAAATGACAAATGTCTCAGTAGGGTCTGAGAGAGCAGACAGGTGGAGCGTCCACTCCGGACCTGGAGAGAGCCTGCCAGTGGTACAGCCCATGAAGCAGCAATGTGAATGCCTGAACTCCAGCATGCATTTCAGTTAGTTAATGGTAGGGACACTCTTCCAATAATGTCCTGAACAATGGGATTAGGACTTAGACATATCTGTGGTAGTCTCCTTTATAGGGATTTTGTCTTGTTTCATGTCCTTGTGCACAATTTTATAACCATGGTGTCTAGAAGCAAGCACTGGCTTCAGCTTGCTATCAGAGCTGAGGCTTGTGATGACTGAGTTCAGAGGGAAGGAAAATCAGTGCTGAAAAGAGAAGGTGTGTGGTCAAAGCCTTCTATTATGCACAGGACCAGAGGGAGCACTCTCAGAAAAATCTGGAGGACTTCTGTCTGAGTCAGCCACTCGGGAAGAGTTCTGATTCTTCTAGTGATGCACAAGCACAGGGAATATTTCTTAGCTAAAACAAAAATAGTGAGGGCCCTTGGCCAGGTAGAGAAAAGGTGCCAGGAACCACAAGGGAAGGCAGAGATCCCAAGGTGAATTGGGACAAAGCATTCATTTCTTCCCTTTTTAACTTTTGTTTGGGTTTTTAGTTTTAGTTTTGATTTTTGATGATGACCCTCTACAGAGTGTTTTTCTGGGTGATTTTTGACATTACCAAAAATGCTAGGTCTTATTGATAAGAGGAGACATAAGCAAGAGAAGGTCAGCATTCTTAACCCATCACTCAAGATAGAAATTTCCCCATATATAATTTTTTAAGATTGAAAGACATGTACTGTTTATTCTTTATTTTAGTTATTTTACCATTAAAATTTATAACTTCTTTTTTACATTACATGTATATTCTAAAATCATTTTGTATATTTTTCATCTCAGTTATAATCTCCATGGACTTCCCACCACTACTTCATCCATGTGCTCTTCCCCACCAAGTTTTGATCCTGTTCCCCTTCTCCTCCATAGAATGCCTTGTTTCTGGCTTATAGTTGTTATCTGATGTTCATTTTTATTTTCTTACAATTACTATACATACACACATAACTCTGTATGTATGTATGTATATGTATGAAAACATATATATATATATTCCTGATCTCTTACACTCCTGCTATGAGTGAAACCATCTGGTATTTTCTTTTTTTTTCTGGCGTATTTCATTAAGCAGATCCCTTCCAGCTCCATCCATGTTGCTGCAAATGGCATGAGTTTTATCTTTTTTTGATTGCTGAGTAATATTCATTGTGTATATGTACAAATCCTGGAGATCATGGAAAATAATAATAGACACTCAAACTGAAAGTCATTGGCCTAATTTGGGTAATTCTTCAGTGTACCCTTTGGGATCTTTAACCCCAGGACTCAGCACTGGCCTTTCTGAGTCCCAGAAACTTTCCAATGGCGTGGCGGATCTCCTTGGTCTTAATACTATATATGATTGGGTTGAGCATGGGAGGCACAAAGAGGTAGACATTAGCCATCAGCAGGTGGACAGCGGGTGGAGCATGCTTCCCAAATCGGTGCACTAGGGACAGCCCTACCATGGGCACAAAGAATATCAACACAGCACAGAGGTGTGAAGTACACGTTTGAAAGACTCGGAGCTGTTCCTCCCGGGAGGCCAGTTTTGCGACTGTGTGCAGGATGGCACCATAGGACAGGGCAATGAGCACCAGATCCAACATCACAGTGAGCACCACCAATGTCAGTCCATACAGGTTGTTGAAGGTGGTATCTATGCAGGCCAAGTGTATCACTTCCTGGTGCAGACAGAAGGAATGGGAGAGGACTCGATGCCCACAATAAGGAAACACTCTCAGGAGAAGGACTATGGGAACAAGCCCCACAGGACCCCGAAGGATGACAACTAGGCCTGCCCTGATCACTCGCTGACCTGTAATGATGACAGAGTACCGCAGGGGGTGGCAAATGGCTACAAAGCGATCAAAGGACATGACAAGGAGGACTGCGGACTCCATGAAGGAAAATGAGTGGATGCAGAACATCTGGATTTGGCAGGCTCCAAAGTAGATACCATGGGAATTAAACCAAAAGATTCCCATAGTGGTGGGCAAGGTGGACACAGACAGTCCCAGATCAGTGAAAGCCAACAGGGACAGTAGATAGTACATGGGTGTGTGCAGACGAGGATTGGTCTTAATAAGCATCAGAATAAAACAATTGCCTGAAATGGCGACCAGGTACATAAAGAAAAAAGGGATGAAAATCCAGTGTTCAATGGCTTCTAGTCCAGGTAAGCCTGTGAGGTAGAGCATGGGGGTAAACTGAGTGATGTTGGATATGAGCCCAGGTTGAGGACTGAAGGGACTTAGGAATGGCATTCCTCAGGGATTGTGCTGAAAATAAATGGATATGTCTGGTTATTAATTCTTTAGTCTCACTAGCATTCCCACCATCATACGCAGAATCATCATCATTATAATTGATGTCACTATTATCAATTCCACCCTACCTGACAGAAACTGCCTTTGATAGCACCAACCTCACCAGGTTTTCCCCTATTATTTCTCTTCCCTCAGTCTTCTTTGCTTACTTTTCTTCATAGCTCATCCCTTAAATATAGCCACTCCATCCTTGGTAACCTTCTGGCCACACCTTATTGCTCCTTCCTGGCAGTAACATCACTCTTACAACTTCATTTATCACCCAAAGGCTGGTAAATATCCAAATGTGTGACTTCATAATTTATCTTTTTTTTTTCATTTCCAGACTCACATAGAGCACTTTGCTGAGCCTCTGCATCTAGATATTTTTCAAAAACATTTAAAAAATTAGGTTATAATTGGTCCTCCCTGGTGGCGCAGCGGGTTAAAGCACAGCACTAAGAAGCTGAAACCACTCCCGCATGAGTTCGATCCCCTCCCGCCCCGGAGGTGACCACATGGTGTGGCAGACCTCTCCTGACCCGTCCGCTGCTCCCCTCAGCAGTGTATTTCGTCGATCTGCCTGTTCTGCTCCCCACTCTGTCTCTGGTGAAGTCTTTCGCCACCCCTGAGTCTCTGGCCTGTACCCCAGTTCTGTATGCACAAATAAATAAATCTTAAAAAAAAAAATTAGGTTATAATCACTTAACCTAAAAGAGCTTAACTTGTTTACATTAACTCAATCATTGAAATGTGGGCTTCCAAAATCAGTTTAGGAAGAAATATAAATTTGAAAGATATTAGTACATAGGCTAGAGGAGAAAAGCTAAGAATGAGTTTAGAAGGAAGTTTTGGAATTGAATTGTGGGCAAACCTGACATTTAGAAATCAAAAAGATAAAGTTCCAATAAAAATATCAGGTAGGACGAAAACTAGGAGAGTGTGGTTTGAATGACTTTTAAGAGTGATTAATCAGTTATATATGTTGTTAGGAGACCACGGTGGTCAGGAGTAAGAAGCCACCATAGGTTTTAGCACTGAGAAAGTCATTGCTGACATCAATAAGAACGACATCAGTAGAAGGGTTAGAGAATTCTCACAATTGAAGTGTGTTCAAGAAGGAAAGAGGAAGAGGGAGAGAACAAATGGGATAGGGCATCTAGTTGAACGCCATTTATGGTTCATAAATTCAAGTGGAGACAGCAGCATTTAGGTATGTTTTTAACACTTTATTTAGCTGCTCAAATGCAGAAAAGAACTATCTAGAGAGTTGGATTGTTAAGATTGAAGTTATGGTACCTTGTTTGACTAAAAGGTGTTGGCAGAAGATGGTTATAACAATATAGTATGGAGACAAAACTGTATAAAAAGAAGTTAAAAGTATGAAAAAATAAGTGAAAATAGATCAGAATTATAGAGTATGAAGTGGTACTAAGAGAATAATCTTTGATGAGAGGAGTCAGGGCCTCAGAATGAAGCTTCTGATTGGATCAACAGAGGGAATAGTGAAATCATTAAGAAAGTTTGGATCAGTGAAACTGATAAGAGCGAAAGAGATAAGTGCATCAGTGTTAAAATCTTCAATGAGTAAAGTGTTGTGAATGGAAAGGTGGCTGGGGGATGCAGAAAGGAGGGAGAATGTTGATGTTGCTGTTGTGCAGTGAAAAGAATGGGGGGTAGAGGTAGTAGGCAAGATGGAAAATGTTCAGGAAGACCAGGACCAGCCCATCACCACATTGAAAAGGGAATAAAAAAATACTGGCGTGCATCCTCTCCATTTGTTCACCCCTCACTCAGATTACCATTCAAACAACCAGCCTCTTAGCTAAAACAAGACTCTAAGTTCACCAGTATCCTCTAGGGGCCAGATTCGGAGGAGACTGTTCATTCTACCTACTGTCTGCAATGGTTGTGTTTTATGACAATCTCTTACATTTTAAACTTTCTTGGTATTCTCAATGCTAGCACCTGCTGGTTCCCTTCTAATTTTTGATGACGGCTCCTATTCAGTCCCTTCCAATCATTACTCAAATGTTTGTGTTTTACTGAAGTGCTCTACTCACCACATCTATTGCATTTTATATCGTTCTGCTTATTATTAGAAAAACAGTAGTAGTGGTAGTAATACTAGCACTAGTAGTAGCTGATTGGTGACCCTAAATATTCACCTGTATTTTGGACCACTCTGCCCTGTATTAGACCTGAATTTTTGGTTTCCAGTCAGATGTCTCCAAATGGATGTCAATTAAACTCAATAATAGCTCTAATACTGAGCAGATGAGGACATACCTGATTCTCCATCTAACTATGCATTTTATATTAGCAGTAACCACTTTCCAATAATTCAAGACAACATTCTGAAACAGAAGCTTTATTTGACCCTATCCTTTTCCCCATATTTAATTTTAATTCTCCCCATTAATTATTTCTTCCTCCTAAATACACCTGAAATCTATTCCTTTGCCTCCACCTCTTCGTTTAACTCACCTCTTTGCCATTTAACTTTTACAACCTGATTCTCCTTCTCCAATACATTCACCATTGCCATGAGGTGGATTATCCTAAAGTGCTCACTCTGTGAGTCCTTTAGGAGCTCCTGTTACATCAGCATAAAGTTCACATTAATTAAAGAGCTCTGGGGATAGTTCTGATCCATTAAGCCCATGCTCAATCCAGATACTGCATGTGATGTTACACAGTCATGTGTCATTCTCAGAACTGGGGAACATTTAAACCCCACTTTACTGAGACAAAAACTACAGGGGAGGTAAATGACTCTCCCAAGTCCTCAGAGTGAGCTCATGTCAGAGGAGATCTGCGCTCAACTCTGCCTAATCCCTAGGTGAGGGGTCCTAGTCCTGATGATTCTGTGTTGACCAGGCTCTGCGTGCTTTGGCAGCTCCTTCACTCACTTTTTTTCTGCCTTAGACAACATATCCACAATGACCTTTCTGTAGTCCTCCCTATTGATCTTTCTTGTTTGTATTCTTTATATTGTTTGTATCTTGCTTTCCTATTTTTCTGACCAGTTGATATTTGCTGATCCTGTAAGGCAGCACAGACATTTCCTCTGACAAGTCTCTTCTGATGTTAACCATATCTTTCTCTGCACTTGCAAAGCACACTTGCTGCAACACTATAAAGTATAACTTCACACACATACATTCTTTATATTTTTATTATATATATGCAAGTGCACTTATACGTACATCTAGGATATACTTAGATTATGTATAAGTAAAATATATGGAAGTACAAATAACATATATAAATGATTTTACTTACACATATTTTACAGAATAAAATACATATTCATTATATACTTGGATACTCTATATACCACATATTCTTATGTATTAATATAAAAGGTGTAAATATAAATGTATACCAAAATATTTATACTTATGTATTCATAATATAATCACCTTACATGCAGTATATATAATATATATCACTTGCATATTATACACAGTCCTTACAAGTGAGTGTGAATCTCCATGTGTGCATTTATACTAGACTGAAATTCTCTATAATACCAGAATAGTGTATAACACATGATAGACCCCACTGTCTGCTTTTGCATGAAAACCTAAAAGAGTGACTGAATGAATCCAGTGCTCACCTCTTGTCCTGACTAGCTGTGCCTGGAGATTGATGTTGAGCTCCGTTTTCACTGAGTTGTAGAAGATAAGAGTGAAGGGCACCAAAGGAAATGAGTCTACAGAGAGACCATGAGCAGACTGGTATTATTTTCCTGAAAAGCAGTTTCTCCTGGAAATAGAGACAATAGTCCATGTTGAGGGAAAAATGAAATTTCTCCATATCCACTCAAAAAGAGGAGCCCCTCCGTGGGCAGGTGGTCACACTTAATCACAGTATAACTGCAACATTCACAGTGGTGAAGATAAAGATTAGACCTGAAGAGGAAAACCTGAAAGGATTTTCACTATGCAGTGAACAACTGGATTTCTACATTAGCTATAAGTTCTAAATATCCTATTGTTTTTTATTTAACATTTAATATATATATGTACATACATATATATATATATACATATATATATTTAAGACAAATTGGTGGTAGAGGCCCCATTTCTTTTGAGCAGGATAGTATACAAATCTGTGGAGCTATACCTAGCACTGAGACTTAGACCAGAAGCCTGTGAGAGATTCTGTGGGATCCAGCTTCCAAGGCTTTATTTTACAAGTGAGAAAAACTAAAACACTTGCCCAAGGTCATTCTTTAGGAGAGGAGCCAGAAGGGGAACTCAAACCACCTCCTTTCTGGATTAATACTTTTCTGGACACCTACCAATGTCTCCTCCCCTTCCTGAACTTTCTCTTTCCTCTATATGACCCCCTAATACCCACCTCTGGATTTCTGGTATTGGGGACCAGTGGAGGCTCACCAACAGTAGCTAATTTTCAGGAGGCAAAGCCCAGGTAACTTTCAATTGAAAAAAAAAAAAAAAAAAAAAAAAAAGGAAGGGCTAAGAAGGATGGCACCCAGGTCAGCGGGAGGTATCAGGCTGTGACTGTCCGGGAAGGTTTTATCCTGCTTCCTCTGTGCAGTTGCAACACCAAGGTTCCAACTGGGAAAATCTGAACACAAACAAATAGTCCCCAGGGCTCAGAGCGGTGAGCAAGAATGTGCCTTTATTTCTCTCTTTTTCCCTGGGTTTCCCTAAGGCTGAAGAGCCCTCAGGTTATAGGATTCAGTCTCCAGGCTTTGGCTGTACTGCCTACCTGCTTGTATCTGCTTTTGGAAAAAACTGGATGCCTATCGCCTGCCACCTCCTTCACTCCCTCCATGAGCGGATCCATGGTTTGCAAGAGAAGATGGATATGTAAGATGGAGAAGATTATCCACGCAGCTTTCACACTGGTGTCTA